AGATCTAATGCAAAGTTGCGAAGAATAAGAAGGCTCCTAATTCAATGAAGTTAGTATACTCCAACGTGTCTACTTTAAAGACGAAATACTTGACGACCTGAAACACTGGAAATCCATATGCCAAACTAATAAAATCCAGACCAAACAACCTAAGTTGTTTCGCAAAGTCTGCCACCAGACCTCAGTTCACCATGGCGATACAAGGCTACTTCAGGTGACGTTTCAGTCTAGTGACTAAGTAGATACAACCTTCTTGTCAGCTCACTGTCTTCTTGATTCGTCATTCAGCGTTCGTATATTGTCTGACATCTCTTGGAGTGCGCGTTGGCAAAGGACGCCAAACGTAGGAGAATACCGCAAGCAAACCAACTAAAGATCAATCCTTGTCCATGATGTCCGAGAAATCCAGGCTTTCGACGAGTCGCTGACCCCAGCTCATAGCTTGAAAAAGTGGCGGTACATCTGCGAAGTCCTCTCTCTCTCTCTCCAAGCCGTGAATGTCAACTCAGAGTCAAGGTTACCCATATCACCTAACTATAAAGCAGGTGAATCAAGGGTCTTGCTCTATTCTAAACAAATGATTGCAAGAGTGCTCGGAAGTTGGCACAAGTTACGCACCAAAGTGTCATCAGAGATATGTCTGAAGGCGTCCGAAGCCAGGCCACCAGTGTCTGATGATACGAAAACCAGCGGAAAAGTTGTTACGAACCCAGCACTCTGCATTTTCATACAGCAGCGCAATGCCGTTCCCTAGCCTACCGAAGAGGAAGGAACAGACAATTTGTTGCAATTCACCTCTAAAGCATCAGGTAGTGCGTGCTCTATGCAACAGGCAGAAACCCATCCGGGAGGTTGACAAGAAATATATCCAAGAGTGATTATCAGCCTGCAAAACAAGGATCGGCGTAAGTTCACGGGTAACGCTTGCGTTCAAATTTGCTTCTGTCATCGGTTGCTCTCAGTATTTCATACAAACGCGCAAGGTCTTCTCAGTAAATTGGCCGAGCTTCGGTCTCGTGAAACTGAGGAACCATAATAGGGTGAAACGCGTCTGGTGATTTTCTCGATTTTGGTTGAGCTATGCATTTTGTGAGCTACTGGGACGAATACATTACAATAACGCTTAGTGCGGTGGGACCTCCCATGACAATCGAGACGTGGCTGAACGACGTGATTACTGACACAGAGATCGCACTGCCTGATATGTCACTCTGGCGCAATGACCGACCCAAGAAGAGGGACAATGTAAAACTTTACTACCGTTCCGACCTTTACATCGACCGAATAAACGACCCTGTGATTCAAAACACGGAGGTCCTACGGTGTTACCTGCACCTAAAGCAGGACTAGATATGCTTAGTGGCCGTTGTATGCCGCCCACCAGTGTTCAGTTTAGAACTGGATCAGGACATCGCTTCCGCCATTAATAACCTGCAGGAACGATCTTACAACCATGTTCTCCTGGTCGGGAATTTCAATCAGTACGAGCTAGAAACCCCGGCCAATCTGGGTGAAGATTTCAAGGCGGAACTTCAAGAGCTAATCGCTGGTTTTCCGTAGTATAACCATCTCACTTCTCCAACACGTTTCAGGACAAGAAACAAACCGATCATCTTGAACCTTGTTTTTAGTAATGAGGACCCGGTGACCCGGTAACATATCTGGGCCGCAGCGATCATGCGACATTAGTGTTCCAATACTTGTCATACGCAGAGGATCCTAAAGAAAGTAGCGAGGAATTCCACATTGTAACCAATTATGATGATCTGTCCCGCCACATAAGTCCAACAAGCAGTTCTTTCATAGCTAAATGGTCCTCTGAGGTGGTCTTCGGGGAAAATGTCATTAAACAGGCTGGTAACAATCACATCTAAAGACAAAATCCACAAAGCCGAAACATCCTGTCGGTCCTAAGGAGCAGGACTCCGAAATACATGACATTGAGGGACTTGGCATGTCTCGCCCACATAGCATCTCAGAGCGAGGGCACTTAAGACTTCTAAACATCACAAAGGAACCACTGTGACAAGCTTGTATAGGAAGATATATTAAAGAGCAAACAAGGCCTTCTGGTGAAATTTTCCTTTAACCCCAATCTGCTATACAGACACGTAAACACACTCCGTATATTTAAGCGCAGAATTCCTGCTCTGCACACAACACAAATGACACAAGAGGTGGCCAATGTTCTTGGAAAACAAGTTGGCCGTACCTTCCAAATTGTGCAATCAGCTTATCTCTTATATCCGCAGATCACGCCGCCAACATGCCTAAACTATATACCTTTTAAAACTGCAGCTGACTGAAGCGACTGATGTTCTTGCAAGAATGCAGATTACCGGGTGCAGACGGCATTCGGCCGAAAGCGTTGAAAGTTGCTGCCGTGAGTTGAGCTGAATCCTTAGCAACACCCTTTCAGCGATGTCTTAATGAGATCCACGACCCAAGATGCGGAAGCACGGGATCATCACTCCAAGCACAAACGTGGTAGTCTTGCGGAAGCAGCAAATTATTGCCTGATAACACTTCTTCCGATGATCCCCAAGATCATGGCATCCATTGTAGCTGAGGAGCCAATGCCGTCCTAGGAGAGTAGCAAATTTCTCTCTCCGGCGCAGCACGGATTTTTCCAAAATCCTTCTTGTACTACTAATCTATTGATAGCTGGTGTTAGCTGGACGGAATCTGTTGACCCTAACGTAGGACTAGATACAGCCTACCTGGATTTCCCAAAGGTATTCGACCGCCTGGATCCCCGCATTCTACTGTACAGACTGCAGAATTATGGAATCAGCCATCCCTTCCTAGAGTGGATAGAACGTTTTCTCTTTGAAACTCATCTGAATATGATGGTGCGCAGGGTCTTGTCGGAACCAATCGAAGTTCAGTGCTATGTACTTCAGTGCTTGGTACTCAGTCCCCGCCTGTTCCTGGTCGCCATAAATAATCTCCTGAGGGTGTTACAGTCCAACTTGCTACGGCGACCACCTGTCTATGGTGACCAGGCAAAAGCATCGCAAACTTATTCTCCTGTGAGTATTGGCCTTATACATGAACCGCTCTATGGCGACCACTTTTGGTCTGTCCCTTAAGTGATCGCCTTAGGCAGGTTTAACTGTATCTTCGAACCGCTTAATATTCGCCGATGATCTAAGGATATGGCATGCAGTCGCTCCAGTGGAGGATCACACAACTCCACAGGGTGACCCGGACAAAGAGTACATATGGTAAATCGAGAACAAGCTGCAGTTCAACGCCATTAAGTGTAATGTTTGGAGAATATGCTATCAGAGTACTCACAACTACCGGCTAGGGCCACACATTCTACAGCGGTCTTCTCATAAGTGCGTTCTTGGCGCGCTCGTGTAAGAGAAAGTTGGGTGCTTAAGACGGACTGAAGAAGGACCAAAAAAGCGTACCAGCACTTCAGTCTTCTTCGTAGAGCTTTCTGGAAGTTTAACACCTCAATCTTTCCGAAAATGCTTGACACCTACGTGAGACCCCACGCAGAATACGCTGTTCACGCGTGGCAACCCTGCCAGAAGCACCACCACACCGTGCTCGATACTGCACAACGCAAGCCAACTATGAACGTCAAAGGTTCCTCCGGTTTTCCTTACGCACTCAGGCCGAAAACGCCAAATGTACATCGGACAATATCCGTCTAAGGAGAGAGCTCATAACGGTGTATCAGATCCTAAGAAACCCCAACCACACATGCCATTTTCTTTTGAAACTCAGTCAAAACACATGTCTAAGGAGTCATCAGTTGCAGTTACCCACGCAACTTTTTCCCTCCGAGTGTTTCACAATCTGGAACGCCCTCCCGGCGCATGTAATTAAAAACCTCACCTTTTCAGAAAACGCTTTGAAGACACGCTGACATATCTACACTACGTGATATAGCCCGCGGGTATACCTGATCAACGCAGTTTCCAGTCAAGTGGGGGGGTGGCCTGCTCTGCTCTATCTTATGTACACAGCTTTTAATTGCGTGAAGAATCAGTGCGCTGTTCGCTTACAAACTACCATGCGACTATGTGACAGACATCGAAAGTGTTAGCGTCTAAACGGCAATACCAAGCGTAAACAGAAGAGGATGAATAATATGCGAAGGTTATTTCAATCTTGAAGCTTCACAGTAATATTAGATATAGCCCAAAATTAAAATACTTCCATCATACTGCATGTGAATACTTAGTTGCTACAATAAGCACCCAAAGAGTGGCGTAAGCACCCACTGGTTGTAAGGGAGCGTGTTAAGCAAATGGCTAATTTCGAAACCGTGCTTTGTTTACCGACCGCTATCATATTGACCTTTACTAACCAGAGGAAAGGAATATTAGACAAGTCACCGATTAAGCGATCCGCATATTTGACCACTTGGGTGGAGTTGCAATCAGTAAAGAAACAGCAAATTTGGTGTATTTCGCCATCGTACATGGACGACATCAACAAAAGCCGTCAATCTCTGCAACAATCGATTAACCCTAGAAAAAATAAACTCCATGCACTGACGACAATATAGTCACCGCGGTTTCAATTTAATACAGTAACCATTCATCAAACTGACGTATAGTTGTTAGCTTACGACCTAAATTCGCCTCGCTGTATCGGGACCGACCGCGGGGATTGGCTGTTTAATCACACTGGGCGCATGTACGACATGACGCTATCGATTCTGTCACACTGTCTTGGTTTCCTAGCCTGATGAAAACGAAAACCAACGTGCTTGATTACCTCATTGTTTGCTTACGAGTGGTTAGAGTGGTCTTGGTTATCAGTGTAGGCTCATTTCTGTTAAACTCTAATTGAATCGTCCATAAAATCTCAGTGCACACCAGATGTCTGCCACTACTGAATTGCGCACATCTGGTCTCACCACAAACGTTGCAACGCTGGTTGACTGTGTCACGTGCTCCAGCTTGGGTGGCGTTGCGCGTGTTTGTTCAGTCAGATATGTGTGCAACTTACCTGCGCGCATTTCAAGGCCCCTAGGCTGTCAAGGTCATCAAATCCGATTGTGCGCTCTTATACGTCAAATGAACACATGCACTTGAACACACGTATCGATGGACAGCCATAGCCCCACATTTCCCTCCAGGACGTCCACAGAGATAGGATTTGACGCCCTCATTTCAACACTCAGAAATGAAACACTACCGCAGCCACCACAAGAACCGGTCAATACAACGAACGTTCCTATTGAGATGGATTGGGTAAGTTCGATCGAATTTGTGTATACTATGCTTCTTCCGCTCGATATTTTAAGCAGCACAGCCAGATTGCACCTGTGGAACCGAGTCGGTATTGGGCAAGTCATTTCAACAAACAAAACTCGCGCTGCCTAAATTGTTAGCGTATCCAAGAATAGCATGGTCCATAGTTTAGACCTTTGGATAAAAAGGATAACATTCTCAACTAGTTGCATTACAATACATTTGTTTGTTGAAATATCCAGTGCTGTGTTGATTACGAGAAGTGAACGCTCACACCAGAGTTCTGAACTACGTTGTCTATTAGACGTTACATGTTCGGACATCTGGATGAGGTACATAAACGATAGTAATTCGAGTTAAATCAATTCATGCGTCATCCATAGACGAGGAATAATTATTGTGAACCCCCATCAACCTCTGGGTCTTAGGATAGCTTGTGCCGCTGTGCCTGATTCGTACTTCGATCTCGGGTTTTGCCGACGAGGTTTACGAACCGCCTTCCAAGAACAGCGTAGCCACTAGTTAATGGCCGAATCCTCAGGTTTCGTTGCTCGTCTGACATTTTACCTTAACCTAAGAAGAGACCGTATGTAACATACAACTTTTCAGTTACGGACTTAGCTCACCGCCCATCCGAGTAGTGCGCAAGACATCAGGTTGGTGAAAACATTTTTGTCCTAGAAAAGTTGCTAAGAAAGTATAAAGCCAGCATCGTCCCACACCATTCGTGCTTGGATCGGTATGCTTTACCACGTTTGTTAACTAAGCAAAATCTAGTCGCTTTCTATCCGCGAGTTTTTTGCCGTCTTCCATTTAACCTCGTGGTCGTTTTAATTGACTCATTAACACATCAGTCCCATTCATGATCGTTTTTTGCTGTCAGTGCGCCAGTGATAGTTTTTGTAATGTGTTCTTAGGGAGGGATCCGGATGGTGCATTTGTCTAGTCTGTACATCATAAATAAAACTGAATAAAACTGTAAACAAATCTGAGTAGAAAATGCCTCCGCAGCTCGCCAATTTGTATGTCAGTAACCAATTGACAATGCTGTCTGACACATCCCGGAAATACCACGTGGAAACCGACGCATCCAAGACTTACTATCAGTGAAAGCGAATGGAAAGTCTGGAGAGGACGTCGGACCAAAGTACCTGTGAACACCGTAATTATTATAGTTCAGAAGGATTAAAAGGGAAGGGTTCTATATCGTATCTGTCAAGCTGTAGTAAAGTTAGACTGAATTGGCTTCAGATACCAAAACAGTTGGTACGGAATTCCATTCTGAACTTGCTGGTCCCCAAATTTGCCTTTCCATGCATTCTGCTCCATAAATGCCGTTACAGTAGCTGGCACATTTTTCCTACTCACACTGTATTAGTTACAAGGAATTAGAAAACTACCACGCTCTAGTTGGTCAGGTTTTGATGGAATGCCGCATTCTCAGTTTGATTACCGTGCATAGGTTCGACTGTTTACGTGTCAGTGAAAAGCACGACTCATGTAAAGTAAGATGGTAGACAATACTCCTCTGTCTTAGTTTGCCGGGGTCTCACCGATTCGATTGGGGAATCCTAGTTTATGTAAACAGAAGTTGCTCATACGTGTCCCTGCCCTGCCTTGATAAACTTGACACTCGCATTCTACTTAACGGATTGTGGCTCATTGATACAAGACCCATGAATACCCTGAATTAACGAATGTCATTTCAAACTGATTACTATTTTATGCCATCTATTCATTTTACATTATATATGTAAACGATCGGTTTTTCCTTTTTTTCTAATCTTTGGGAAGGGGAAACCTTGCTAAGATTGGAACCTAGATCTTCTGGATGTGAACTGGCGCCTTTATTCCCAATATAAAGACCATTCTTATGGTATCCGTTCCTGTGGAGTTGTCTGGAATTCATTCTTTTCGGTTGACAAAGCTTGAAATGTAGCTCATCTGAGATAAATTTCATTTGGCTATAGACCAGAAACCGGAATTGTTCCGGCCACTGGGAGTGTACCAAATTGGGCGTTGGTTGCACCGCTGAATGACGTTCTGGCTATATGGTTCGGTAGAAATCAATTAGACTTACTCCGTATTCCCGTAGTTCACAGAGCATCTCCTAATCCTCCTCTATATGTATAATACCAAAGCGAAAGCACGATCTACTCATGGTGGGACCTAAAGTAGGGTGTATAGTTATCAGTTATTCCAATCCAGTGAACTCATGTGGTCCTGCCTACCAGCGATGTTTTCACAGATCAACTCAACCAGGATAAAGAGGACATATGGGCAGAAATTAGATGTGCTTAAACCGCCGAGGATGCAGCCAACCTTCTACGGATACAATATGCCTCAATTTTCCGACTTTCTCCCAGCATTTGTAACATTTCTGTCCCAACTTCCTAGATGCCAGTAGGTGCACACGTCACGTTTAGTTCAGCAAGCATTTTGAGGAAGTTGCTATCATTGCGCACGCACAGCTCCCCCGGAGTTGACAACATTCCCCCGAAAGCACTGCAGGTGGCAGCTACGAGAATAGCTGAACCACTAACATGATATTTCCAATGGTGCCTGGACGAACAACACGTCCCTAACATGTGGAAGCAAGACATCATTACCCCGATTTTCAAATGTAGTAGCCGTTCTGAGCCAGCCAACTACCGCCCAGTGACTCTCCTCCAGGTGCTCTCTAACGTGATGGAATCAATCATAGCTGAGGCTGTACCGGGCTACTTCGAAAGGTCTAAAATCATAACACCAGAGCAACACGGATTCCGTCAGCATCGGTCATGTACTACCAACGTACTGCTTGGCCGTGGCAGTTGGACCGAGATAGCCGACAGTGGGGCCGGCCTTAATGTCATCTACCTAGGCTTTTCCAAGGCATCCGACCGCGTAGGTCACCGTATCCTTCTCAAACTGCTGCAAACATACGGAGTTGGAAACCCTGCCCTTGGATGAATCGGGAACTCCCTCTTTCAGCGGCGCCTACAGGTTCGAGTTTGATGTTCATTTTTTGATCCAATTGGTGTGGACTGTGGTATTCCACAAGGGTCGGTGTTGGGGCCGCGGTTATTCTTGTTCTTCATCAACGACCTTGCGAGTGTCATCAAGTCAAATTTCCTGATTCTTGCCGATGATATCAAGATATGGAAGGCAATCGACTTTCAGAAAGAGCACGAGATGCTGCAATGAGACTTGGACTGCGCTTTGGTATGGTCAAAGGTAAATCTACTTCCATTTAACACGAACAAGTGCAAAACCGTGCGTACCCGTCACAAGCCCACCTACACAAATAAGCTTGGAGAAGATATTCTGAACACCGCCTCAAAAGAGCGAGACCTTGGAGTGATAATCCAAGACGACCTCGGCTGTTCAGTGCAGTCCTTGAAGGTCTTCAAAACCGCGAACCAACATGCTGGTCTGTTCCAGAGGGGGTTCGGGGGTTCGATCCACTTATCTTCCCCCAAATACTCAATGCATATGTGAGGCCCCATTTAGAATACACGATCGAGGCTTGGCAACCCTGGTTAAAACGCGACCTGGTTGCACTGGAGACCGCACAGCAACGGGCAACGGAAAATGTGCAGGGTTTGTCCCATCTGCAATACCATAGATGACTGAAAGCTCTGGCAGTGTACAGCGGAAGATATCGCCGTCTACGGAATATCCCATCCTGGCGTTCCAGATTTTGAAAAACCCGGTCATGCTTGCCAAAAGACCTCCCGAAGCCAAGCTACAACACCGAACTGAGGGGACATAAATTGAAATTTGCCACTTAATACAATCGGCTTGAGTGCTACCGGAATGAGTTTTCCCTTCGAGTTTGTCAACCGTGGAACGCTCTTTCGACGTTTGTCATTTCAGCGCCCAACCTACCCATTTTGAAAAAACGACATGACAATACTTTACATCATTTACATTACTTGATCGGATTTCTATTCATTGAGTGACGATAAGTCGCAGACAAACATTGTGCTCACGAACCCCATGAAATCGGGGTAGACTGATATATGTATGTGTTAACGTGGATAATATGGTGAGTCCACGGATGTTTTTCACTTTTGTGTACGTTGAACTAACCTTATTCCTACAAACCATCCTACGGGATTTGTCAAGCCTTGGCTTTTTTATCCCTATTGTACCATTCTTCCATTGTAACTGCGTAGGTGTATTCTTTACCTTGTGTGAATTGATGAGTACTGACAGTTTACTCTTGGGGTCTGAGCTCGTTAACTTCCCCCCATTCGTCCCGATATGAGCAAATAGGCAAATCATCATTTTAAAGCAAGTCGCATTCCAATTATACCATTTAACGCTCACACAGTGCCAGTGAGCAGTGTGACGACAAAAACAATGATGGCGCTGCGCGTCACCGGAAAATATGCGGCTGAAACATTACAACTGATTGTCACGTGGTAAGCCACGTTCAATCGGATGTCGTTTTATATGACGATGTTAACGCTGCACTTCTTTGGAATGTTGCTCTAACCTTACTTTTGGCTGCTCACGGTACTGGATGAGTCGGATAAACTATATTTGGTGGGGAACGTGGTCTAAACGGTGCCATCAAGCGCGTTTGATGAACCCAAACATAGCTTGTTAATGGTTCGAATAGCAATTGGCTGTTGCCCGCCCGAAAACACCGCACTAGTATGACGCGTTTCGCTATTATTACATCTCATCAGACAGAGTTAGCAGGCATCGACCCCGGTACCAATGGGATGAGATGAGATGTAATAACAGCGAAAAGTGCCAGAGTGATGCAGTGTTTTCGGGCAGGCAACACCTAATTTCTAGTTGCATCAGCTACGGACCTCGTGATCGGAAGACCAAGGTTAAATCCAATGAGAATCGCGGTCAACATTGAGATTGCGCGCCGCAATCCATCCACACAACGTGTACTTCAAAATGACCCACAACATCGTTTATTAAACCGTTGTGCCAAGCGTTGCCCGTCGTGACCCGGTGGCTTAGGGGTAGGGGTCACAACTAACTTCCCGATAGTCTCGGGTTCGATGCCTGCTAACTCTATCTGATGAGATGTAATGACATCGAAACACGTCATAGTAGTGCAGTGTTTTCTGGCGGGCAACACCCAATTTCTATTTGCATCAGCTACGGTCTTCGTGATCGAAAGACCAAGGTTAAATCCAATGGGAATCGCAGTCAACATTGCGCGTCGCAATCCATCCACACAACGCGTACTTCAAAATGACCTTCGACCTCGCTTGTTACTGGTTGCTATGGGGGACCTCAAGTCGTGAGGACGGACATTGCTGGCATAAGGCCATAGAAGACACAACATAGTTTGCTCGGAAATTGGGTTAGGTTTGCTTCATAGGGAGCTTGAAAGCTAGGTAGCTGAACCATCCGAAAAGAGGCAAACATGTGTCACCATTACCTCTCATAAACGCATAGGAGTATGCATTTATTATGTATAGCAAAACGTAATTCAGCAATACGCTTGCATACTGATTGTGGGAAACAAACGCCAGATTCTGTTTCTATGCCTGTTTTATTGTGTGTCTGCATCTGGACTACCAGACAGAGATAGCTGGTTAGATGAGTAGTCACACCGCTACAATGGATCAATTAGTCGATCGATCTATCGAGTGACTTTTCTGAATAATGCTACAGGTCTGAGGAACATGTGCAGCGAGCACCATGCAGGGAAAGGTACGACAAGGATTGGAACATGAATGGGTCGGTTACCACAGCGAACCAGTCAGCTGGAAATTTTACGCGTCTCCACTGCCTTTGGAGCATATTCGGAAGTTCCACTTCGACGACGATTACACTACCCTACACAATATTTACTTTTTACACAAGGAAATTATGACCTATTTCAAGGGAAATTTAATATGCTGTTTTCTAATTTCACGTTAATTTAT